CGGTTGCACAGGCCTCTCCCAAGACAAGGAGAAGCCCAGACACGCCAACGGCGAAGTGCCTTCCGGGGACGCGGACCCCAAGTTGTCCAGCAACAAGGAGAAGCCCACGCACTGCGCAGAGTGTGGCAAGGCGTTCAGGACCTACCACCAGCTGGTCCTGCACTCGAGGGTCCACAAGAAGGACAGGAGGATGGACGCCGAGTCGCCGACCATGTCAGTAGACGGGAGGCAGCCCAGGACATGCTCTCCAGACCTGCCCGCCACGCTGGATGAAAATGGAGCCATCGATCGAGAAGCTGGTTCTGAAGATGGATCTGAGGACGGACTGCCCGAGGGGTTCCATCTGGGTAAGCTGCGCCGCCGGCCTCTGTGCTCCCCACAGAACGCTGGCGGGTGAGGGGGTTCATGGAGCTGGGTTTGAGGTCAGGCTCTTGGTAGTGTCCTACTGGAAGTCACTTAACCCCCTCTGGGTTGAGTTAAAAGGCTGCACTGTCTGGAGACATTTGTGGTTGTCACAACTGGGGGTGTGTGCTGTTGGCACCCGGTGGGCGGAGGCCAGGGACGCTGCTAGACACCGTCCCCTGCCCAGGACGACCCCGCACAAAGAGTTATCTGGCCCGAGGTGTCACAAGTGCCGGGGTCAAGAGACCAGATAATACGTGGCACTCTCGATGTTTTTAAGCTGGTGCCTGGTTTCTTCCCGATCACGTGATGGATGCGAGAGTAGTTTTCATATCAAATGTTGAGCACGTTTTAAGTTTTCTGCGACGCAGGAAACCTAGCACTTAGAGAACTACAATCTTCCGTTTTCAGAATTCTAGAAAACACATTATGGTGCCTTAATGACATCATAAAAAGCTTTCAACCCACACCTCTAATCTTCTACCTGATGCTTTTGAGAGGCAGTGCGTCTGAGGGCCATTCTGTGATGGAGAAATTATAGGTCGGGGGTGGGGGAGAGGCCCCAGCTCCCTGCGAGGAATGAAATGTCCAGTCATGTTCTGCCAGTAGGTGGTGGGGGCGCAGAAAAGTCGGGGAAATTCGGGCTCTGTCGCCAGGTGGCTAGAATACCCACGACAGCTGAGCAACCCAGGCCTGGATTGGGTCTGGTTCTGCCGCTGCATTGTTTCGTGACTGATGTTTTGTTGCTTCACCTCTCTTTGCCCTGATTTTCCTGTTTGCAAAATGGGCTCATTGATCCTTGTCTTCTGCCTTCCAAGGATGCTTTAAATCAGTAGCTGATTTATAAAAAGTTTTCGGTCATTTAAAGAACAGCACTGTAGGACCGAAGGGGATGCTTAAAGAGCAGGAACCAGGTAGATGTGGACATTTCATGTCCTTTCTGTTAAAACAAAGGCGTTTCATAACTTCTTGGATGTGATGCAACGTACCATAAATCCTGACACATAGTTGGAAGTAGGAAATTGCGATAAGGTACAAGCCCAGCTACCAGCTCAGCTCGTTGGGTGTGATTATAAGGACGCAAGCTGGCCATTCTGTATTTAGGGAATTGATTTTCCTAGGTTTATATTCTGATGGGGTCGATTCTAGATTTATCTTCCTATAATTTACTAGCAACCTGGCTTTTCTTTAGGTTTACTTTTAAGAAAATCAACAAGAAATGTAAAAATTTCTTAAAAAATTATTTTAGCCTTTATAAATGGGTTTATAGTCATTCATGGGATAATTGACTTTTAAAAGTCTTCATGACACTTTTTTTAGATCGAGAGTTGTCTCTGCTGTTTTAGAATGTTTAGCCCAGAGGTGTTTAGAGGTTTATAGGTAGGTGGATACATTTTTCCTCGGGAGCTTAGGGGTGACAGGTTGTACAGTTCTGTCTTTATTGTCCCTGGAGGGTCACCAAGGTTCGCTTGTAAGCTAAGCTGCTTTTTAAAATCAGCTAGAAATAATGTAGGATGTAAAATGTGGAAGGAACAGGGGAGAGACCTAGTTGGAAATAACAGTTTTTCAAGGCAAAACGATCAGTTTTATTAGTTTTGCTAAATTTTAAGAGATGACCTCACTTCAGAAGTTGTCATGTTGTAACATGTAATATGAGCTACAATAAGAGGAGGTTTATCCAAAACTTAAACACTTGGTGTTTGGGGGGCAGGTGTTTTCACTGTAGCGTATCTAATTGTCTTTCAGAAAGCAGGCGTTCCTGGGAAGTGTAGCCACCCTTTAACTTGTGTCACTAGTGGACTTTATTGCACGTAAGATACCTGCCCTGATCATCTAGCCGAGGTCGAAGTGTGAAGTTCGACACATTGTAATCTGAGGACGGATTTTGATTTGTCAGATACACGCTGTGGCCATGAGCGCTTGTGGAGACACTGCTCAATTTGGACAAACTCTCCTAGGTGTTTGCCTCCGGTCAAACCTGTTTGTGGAGATGAAGTTGTGCTTGCTGCCCTCTAGTGGTGACTTGCCTAATCTTAAAATAAAAAACTTATTTTTCTCCCAGTGGCTGGGAAAATTGGCAATTTATAGTGACTCAGTTTTCTAAAAGCCTTACTCTGGAGAAGCTGGTTATTCCAGCCGCTGCGTGCAGGTCTGGCTTCAGCTGTCCAGAGCCTGTTCCTGTCAGCCATGCTGAGGGAATGCAAGCTGCTCATGCATCTGTCTGTCAATGATCGTTCCTGTGATGAAGGCAGATGGAGAGCTGACTCTTTAACAGGGAACTCTGCTACACTCAGGAAAAAAACCAAACCAAAAATAAGAACAACACACACACACACGTTATACAACTTCAAAACTTGAGACGACCTGAAAACAACATTTAGGGTGTTTTTAGTGTTTTTGGTTCATTCAACAGTAATATAAAAGTTACTTTATAAAAACGTTTTCCAAAAACGTTTTTATCAAGAACATTTAAGTCGACTAGCTTTACTCATGTATCTGAGCTGTCTTCTAACAGTTTTTGTTTTTGCTTTAAGATAAAAATGATGATGGAGGCAAAATAAAGCATCTTACATCCTCAAGAGAATGTAGTTATTGTGGAAAGTTTTTCCGTTCAAATTATTACCTCAATATTCATCTCAGAACGCATACAGGTAAGGAGCTTCTCAGATTATTTTTTAAAGGGTGCATTAGTGAAAAGAATTATGATGTAGTTTTGTGTCTGATTTTTGTGTTGTTTAAATATTCTACTAGACCCCTGGAATAGCTTGAGAATAAATGCGTGTGCAGTGTGCAGATTGCAGCTGTCATTTTAATTCTTTTAGTGTCATTGTAATTTGAACTGTTATTCCCGTTTTGAAGTTAGTTTCCGACTTCTATATCCTAACTCATTTTCAGACCTCTTTAATGTCTTATAATGCCACAGCTTCTTTGTATTTTTATGGTTTAGAATGAAATGTGAATATGTGTAGTAGTCTTTTCCTTAGATTGTAGAAGCAGCTAGAACAATGGTTTAGAAAGGCTGCGTGCACTTGAATTTCGTCTCTTCCGCTCGCTAGCCGTGAGCTCTGGTTTTCTTAGCTGTAAAACTGGGATAATAAATATTCACTTCTATAGGGCTGTTGTGAAGTTTAGAGAAGTTTCAAGTGTTGCCACTTTATCTTTTAAATTAAAGGCACGTATTCACGTTCGGATATTCCGCATAGTAAGTGTGATAAAGAGCAAACACCACGAGAGAAATCCTGGTTATGAAGATTAGTCGGGGGAGGAGGTTGGAAAGGAAGGAACCGTCTTCTGTATTAGATTCTTTCGGTTTCCAAGGATCTATTTTTATGCTTTTCAAAAACCTGTGTAACGTAGTGACTTTTCTTGTTTTAGGTGAAAAACCATACAAATGTGAATTTTGTGACTATGCTGCAGCCCAAAAGACCTCTCTGCGGTATCACTTGGAGAGACATCACAAAGACAAGCAGGTCGACGTTGCCAACGAAGTCAAGAGCGATGGGAAAAACCAGGAGACCGAAGATGCACTACTGCCCGCCGACAGTGCGCAAACCAAAAATTTGAAAAGATTTTTTGATGGTGCCAAAGATGTTAAAGGCAGCCCACCCGCAAAGCAACTTAAGGGGATGGCCCCTGCCTTTCAGAATGTTCTGTGCGGCGCTGTCCTCTCTCAAGTACACAGAGATACTCAGGATTTCAAAAAAAATGCAACCGAAGACAGTGCTGATAAAATGAGCACAAATCTGGCCTCTGCTTATTTGGACGCGTTAAAGAAGCGAGCGGCGGTGGAACCTCAGGCCAGTCACCTCACCTGTAGAACGGAAGCCGGCGCCACTCCCCCGGCGGGCGCCACTCCCCACGCGGAGGGCGGTGCCGCCCACGGGGCCGAAGTCGGCCGCAGAGAGAAGGTAGAGGTGGCCGCCGACTGCAAGTTCAAGCCAGGCCTGGACTGTCAAGAGAAGCCTTTAAACTTGTCCGTCGGGGCCCCTCACAGTTGCCCCGCAATTTCTTTGAGTAAAAGTTTAATCCCAAGTATCACTTGCCCATTTTGTACCTTCAAGACGTTTTATCCAGAAGTTTTAATGATGCACCAGAGACTGGAGCATAAGTACAATCCAGACATTCACAAGAACTGCAGAAACAAGGCTTGGCTCAGAAGCAGGCGCACTGGGTGCCCGCCGGCCCTGCTGGGGAAGGACGTGACTCCGCTGTCCGGCTTCCCCAAGCCCAAGGCCAGGCCGGCTCCGGCCGCCCCGTCCAAGACGCTGCCATCGGAGAGGGGCAAGCCGGGCCCCCCGGGGCCAGGCAAATCCGCTCCGACCCCAGGGACTGACCCTAGCACTTTAGCCCCCAGCAACCTGAAGTCGCACCGGCCGCCGCCGCCGGGCGTCGGGGCGCAGGGGGCTCAGGCCACCAGGCCACCGCAG